CCCAGCCGCGTGGCTTCTCCACTTTTCACATTACTCGTGTTGTGATTGCTCATCTCCCTTCATTCACTAGGCAGACTGGAAGCTGATGGCTCACCTCTCTGGAGTTTGTGAAGAACGGTTACACATCGGCTCCCTGGGTTGTCCCTGCTTGTCTAGACCACCCGAGGACATCAGTCCACACTGTGCCTGATGGGAAAGGCTACCGAGTGCTGTTTTCTGTAGATCAGCTGGACCCAAGAAACATCCTCCACTCCACTGAGATGAGTCTTCATCCCAGGCTCAGAACGAGGAGCATCAATGACCCTTCCCTATGCTCTGACTTCAGCTTCACCCCTCTCATTGCCCTCCGGCCTCCCCGTCCCTCCAGCCCCGATGGTATCAGCGCAGGGTGGGCTGCACTCCTTCCTGCCCCCAACCCCTGTCGTGCTCTTACCAGCTTCTCTGGGGTGTTGACTATTGCCAGAGTGGCTCCCTCTGCTTCACAATTGCTCTTGCTTCTGTTCCAGGGTAATTCAGAGGAGGACAAGAAGAAGCATCTTCCTTGATGCAGGTTCCACCCTCTGGGGCAAACTGTGGACAGCCACGGAGAGAGAGGATGGGAAGTTGGTGGTTGAGGTGGAACCTTGGAACCCAGTTCTGAGACAATGGGGCATTAGCTTCTTTACAGCGATAGTTGTTGGATGACCTTGAACCCATTCCAATTCATAGTGACCCCAAGAGAGGAACTTGCCCATAGAGAAGTTCTGGGGGGTCTCCTAGGCTGTGACCTTTATGGGGACAGATTACCAGGTATTTCTCCCATAGAATCACCAGGCGGGTTTGAACTGCCAGGTGCACCACTGACACCCATAGGCTCCTTGACGCCCATCGGAACCTTCCCCAAGGAGGAACACCGAGGCGCAGACATTTTTGACCCAACTGGCCCTCGTTTCCCAGTCTGTAACTGGAGTGGGTTTAAAGGCCAGTGGCCCCTTTGGGCAAAACCCATTCTGTGGGAAAGTCTAAGGATTCAGCACATTACCTGTTCCGGAGCTCTCTGTGGATGCAGAGCGGCCTGTAAACATCTTTGGGACTGCGAAGAGAGACAACATGCGAAGTATCCGGGCTCCATGAGGGGCGCAGTGCCAGCCTCTCCTGGCTGCCCTGTGGCTAGCTCTGCACAAGAGAGAATTCTAGGCACCTGGCCACTGGGTGCTAGAATTCTTCAAATATTTTCCTTCTCTGAACCTCCCATCTGACCTCTACCGCTCTGTGCCACCCCCAAGGTCAATTTTCCCACCGCTTTGAGGCTCGGCAGTCAGGATGAAGTGCTGAGGACAGAAACAAAGCACCACAGAGGAAACCAAGTGTCATGGCAGAACTCGGCGCAGGGACCAGCCCTCCGGCTTCAAGCGGAATGCCCTTCATTTGACACTGCTCCTCTCTAGATGGCTGGGAGTCCTCGCCCCCTGCGATCCACCAGGTCCTAGTCTGGGGTCCCTGTCTCGATGGAGACATCCCTAATCCTAGCAGGCCAACCCTGGCCTCTTCTCTTCTCTTCATCCAACAGCTCTAAGGACTGTGGTTCCAGGACAGGTGTCAGGACCAGGGCGGACTAAAGCCGAGGGACCAGGGGAACAGTTCCTATGGACAGAGAACCAGTCTTGCCAAGTCGGCTCCCACTCCTGGAGACCCCACGGGCATCAGAGTAGAACTGTGCTCCTGAAGGCTTCCGGGGACTGGCTTTTCAGAAGTGCGTCTCCAGGTCTTAGAGATGCCTCTGGATGGCTTAGAACCTTGAGCCTTTTCGTTAGCCGCCAAGACATTGGCCGTCGGTACCACCTAGGGATGCGATGGCAGAAAAGGGTCCATGTACCTCTTTGAATATTCACAGGCGGGGTCTCCGCCTTCTTGGAAAGGCTGGCTCTCTGCTTAGGCAGCTGCAGTAGCTTTGCAAACTGGTCCCACCCTTCCTCAGTGACCCAGTAGTCTGCCCACTGTATTTACTTTAGCTAGTTTATGTAGTCACTTAAAATTGTGTTAATAAGCCAATTAGCCTTCATGTTGTCTTTCAGTGCCCTGTTCAGAGACCCTTTGGAATGTGCCCCTCACCTCATTTTCTAAGAAATTTCTTGGGGTTTTAATTGCTCATAAGCCCAGAGGGTTTTTGGAGTTACTTACGGAATATGACTCACTCTGCTAAATACCTCAGTTAATATCCATTGCCACCCCATCGGTTCTCGCTCACATTGACCCTCTAGGACAGAGCAGAACTGCTTCATAGGGGTTCTGAGACTGTCCCCCTCTAGGGGAGCAGACAGCCTCATTTTTCTCCCAATAAGTGACTGATGGACTTGAACTACTGAACCCCTGGTTGGCCACCCAACAGGTAACTGTTGGCACAGCTGAGGAAGATGGAAAAGACCCTTCTTCTCAAGGGTCTGCAGTCGTCAGTGTTTCAAGAGGACTTTTGAGGGAGGTCATCGAGGGAAAGTTTTCTGGAACTGGGGAGGGGTGCATCTCGCGGACCAGAGGTGCTCACGCACGTCCTTCAGTCATCCTTTCTGGAGTGGTGCCTTATGCTTTACAGGTGACAGTTAACAGACAGTTCCCGTTTTGCTTTTCTTCTACCACTGCTTTAGGAGCCCTGGTGGCATATCAGTTAAGTGCTTGGCCATTAGCTCAGAGGGTGGTGGTTCCAGACCACCCAGTGGCACCTGGGAGAAAGATGTGCTGTCTTTGGTAAAAGCGGTCATTGTTGTGGGCCATCGGGTGGACGCTCACTCACTGACACATGCGGCAGAGTGGAACTGTCCCGAGGGTTCTGTGGGCTGTTCTTTTTGGGGATGTATCCCGGGTGGCACAGCCATCGAGTGCTCAGCTGTTAACCACCCAGTCCCACCAGCCCAGATGCCACCCTGCAGGCGAAAGATGAGGCACGCTGCGTCCATTCAGATGGACAGCTTTGGAAACCCGCCGGAGCAGCTCTGCTCTGTAAGGTGGGGTCACCATGAGGAAGAACTGACCCATCAACAAGGCTGGGTTAGGAGCCCTGGTGGCGCAGTGGGTTAAGCAATGCGCTGCTCACCTAACGGTGCTTCCATAATTTCTGATTCAAAGCCCGCCCGCTTCCATAAAGAGTGGAGCTCTGGAAACCCTATGGGCCAGCTCTGTTCTGTTATGCAGGGTCACTGTGACGTTGGGTAGGTTTGGGGTGTGTGTGGGGTTTGTTTGTTTTTCATACTCAGTCTTCTTTATATGATTCTTTATAGGATGACAACATTTTAGCGTGTATAAAGTTCCTTCACAATCACCTGGCAAAGATTACACCCCAATCCCCATACCCAGGAAGAAAATTGGGGCCCAGAAACATCACCCAGTTTAGCCTTGGCTCCCACATCTACAAAAGGAAAGGGATTAATTAGAAAATCTTTTTGGTTGTTTTGAGGAAAACCAGAAATTCTTGGGAAAGGAGACTTCGAAAATGGTATCCCGGGCCATACAGCAAACATACTCATTTTAAAAGTACACGAGAAGTAGAGGGTGGAGAGGTTCGAGTTGCGTGCTTTACCTGTTCCGTAGCTCTCCGTGGGAATGATGTGCTCACTGCCTTGGCCAAAGATCTGCGGGACTGCAAAGAGAACCAGCAGTAGGCCAGCTGGAATTTGCCTGCGTGATGGGCATGACACGAAGCGAGTGCTAATGTGAAGCATTGAGCGCCTCGGCTCAGGCTGGTGAGTGTGCTAGGCTTGCTGTGCAGGTGTTCACAGGCTCCTGTTCTTTCCTGCTCCCTGAGGTGACAGGAGAGTCACCCTCTGTTTGGGTATCAAGGATGGCAGCCCTTTTCCCAGGACCGTTTCCTAATCCTACTTCCTGATATGAAGGTGAACGCTGGGCATTAAATCAGTAAGTCTGAGAAATCAGTGCATTTGACTTATGATGCTGGTGAAGAATATTGGAAGCACCCTGGACCACCAAAAGACCAGACAGGTCTGTCTCAGAAGAAGTACAGCCGGCGTGTTCCTGAGAAGAAGCAAGGATGGCATGACTTCACTTGTGTACGTGGGGCACGGTATCAGGAGAGACCAGTCTCTGGAGAGGGACATCTTGCTTGGGAAAGGAGGGCAGTGCAAAAGAGGAAGATCCTTGGTCGAGAGGAAGATAGACGGACACAGGGGCTGCAAGGATGGGCACAAGCGTGAGAACAACGGTCAAGATGGCCCGGACCAGGGAGTGTCCATTCTGTGATCAGCAGGGCTGCTCTGAGTCAGAGCTGACTTGGCGGCACCAAGCACCAACAGCAACAAGAGCAACCACATTTCCTCTCTCTACCAATCTGGGTTGCAGACCAGTCGGCTCGCTGCAATTGCCAAAAAGCCCTGTGACCGGTGGCCTCTTTTTCTAAGCATTTGACTGTCTGTGCACACAGACATCTCTCTCTCTCTCCATTAAATTCTATTTCCTTCCAATGCAGCAGTCCTCACGGCCATATCATTCAGGCTAAACTTGAATTGCATTTACAACATTTATCAATAGTAACCACTGTCGCTCAGTGATTTCGCCAGGAATCCCTGGCTCATTTTCTCAGAGCACACACTTTGTGTCGGGGCCCAAGCACGAGTCACTGGTCAATTCTTTATCCCCAAGGCATAGCAAGAAACCTTTGTGGCCCACTCTGCTTATCAGGGAGGGAGAGGGGCGTTGTCAGCCACGTTCAGGTGAAAAGACTGGAGCAATTGACCTTTACACTTGACCATGCCTTTGATCAGAGTCAGAGAACAAGGCTCCATGAGGGCTGGGGTAGAGGTTGCTCCGATACTCACAGTACAGTAGGAAGAAAGTCATTCCAACGACTTTCAGGACCACCACGATCAGCCCCGAGATGATCATGTGCCAGTTCATGATGGCGATGGGGAGGGGCTGCAGGGACCAGAGCACAGCACCTTCAGAATATGGGCCGTGTGGTTTCTCGCCACCGAGACCTCCTAGTCTGTTTACTCAGAGTACCTGTGGGGGCGTGGAAGACCGGGACATGTACCAGGAGGGGGCCCAGCACCTGCCTAGGGAACAGGCGGGACCTAGTGCAGCTGGGCAGCCTTTGAACTTGGTACGATGTCCCTCTACCCACCTCCCATAGCTGGGCCTCAATACCATTCTCATCTGCAGGTCCTAAACTCCTCTTGAATTTGCTGTGGACTGCGGGAAGTACACACAAGTCAGCCGTAGGGACATACAGCCCTAATCCTCCTCAGAAGCAGGGGTAGTGAGACGTCAGTTTACTGACTTCACGCACATCATCAGGAAAGACTGAGGTGGTCGTTAGGAGCCATCGAGTCAGCTCTGACCACAGCCACCCTGTGCACAACAGAATGAAACACTGCCCTGTCCCGTGCCATCCTCACAACTGCCTTACAGGAAGGACGGGTTGCTAGAAAATGACATCATGGTCGGCAAAAATAAAAGATTGAGTACAGTATTGAGAACAACCAAGGATCATGAATGTGCACGGATGGGCAGTGTTTTTGTTTGTTGTTCGTGGGGGGAAGGGGGTCACCATGAATTGGAGCCGCCTCAAAGGAAACTAACAACAACAACAACAACAATATCATCATCAACAACCAACTCTTCCAGTGAAATAAACCTGTACGCTATGAAGTGGGTTTTGCTCCATAGATTTCTGCTCGGTCGTCTTGACCATATTCCCTCCAGCTGTTGGCAGCCCCAGTCTTTTAAAGACTGTGCCAGGACAGGTAACCCTGAGGGTTTGGACATTGCAAAAGAGCCCACCATCTGTGCAGCTAAGATAGACGTACAGACAGACTCACCTGCTCTATCCTGGAGGCCTGGTTGACTGGTGTAGTGGGCAGAGGTCCCTTCCCCCAGGAGGATGCCTCTTCTGTTCAGGTCTGGTCCTCCCTCTTCACAGTCTGTGTGGGCACCCTTCCTGGTCAAGCACAGCTTCCTGTTCTGCATTCTTGGCAAAAGGAGTGGGCGGGGGAGGGAGGGGAAGGAAACTGCAGTCTTGGCAGAAGGAAGGCCCCCGCTTAGGTGTCTGGGGAGGAGGGCGGGGAGGCTATTATCCAGGGGAACATCTTTAGGAGAAGTCAGAAAAAAAAGCACCTCAGCACGGACTCACCTTGTCTGTGCTTGCCCTTGAAACACAGTGGGAAGTGGATGCTGTAAAATAGCAGCAAAGAGTGATTTTTGGGTAAAGGGCATTTAGAAATTCTCTGAACTGTTCTGGCAACCGCCTTCTCTTGCTCTCTTCCTCTTTTTTTTAAAGGATACATCTACTATTTATTGCAGTCTTTCCAAAATCCAAGGCTAAATCAGCTTAACTATTCTTTTGGTCGTCAGAACATAGCACCCCTTTCTCTCGAGAGAGCAGATGCTGCTGCTGATGATTTTGATTACCTCTTGTCATTAGGGGCATTGACACGAGTGAATGAAAATATCAGACATTTTCCCCAAGGATGGAGTTCATTGCTTTAGTTTCTCATCCCCAATGTACAGTCAGAAGAAAACAAAGGGTTACATGCACTATTGGTTGCGTCAAAATATGGACAGGAAATGTCAATGTCTCATCATTTGAATATTTCTGTATGTCCAATGTCTTTCTGACTCTCTGCCTCCTTTCTAGCTAACGGAACAGCCCACCTCCACTTACATAGCACCGCAGTGAGCGTTCACTGCATGGTTCTGCCTCAGCTCCTTAGCACATGTGAGCAAATTTTCAAATAAAAACACACTAGTTGGCGCTCATGCCTCTGTTGAAAGAAGGAGCTGAAAAGTAGAAGGAAGGGGCCACAGGCTCCCCCCAAAGTGGGGGAAACCATATGTCTTTGCAAAAGAGAAGTAGGTTAAGTTTTTATGTATTACAAAGGCAAAATGTCTTTGCCAAAACAAAAACAAAACATAACGTAAAGAACTACAGCTATTCCACAGAAAAGACCCGTGGTGCAAATTTTACTAGTCAAAGGAACGAGAATTTCCACAGTATGAATTTCTGAGTGCACCTAAAATAAGAGGAGCCCTGGTGGGTTAGGAGTTGGGTGCTAACTGCAAGGTGAGCAGTTCTAGGCCACCACTTGCTCTTAGGGAGAAAGTCGAGCCTTTCTAGTCCTGTGAAGTGCTCGAGTCTTAGAAACCCACAGGGAAGGTTCTGCCTGCTCCCGGAGGACTGCGATGACTTGGAATCCACTCGACGGCAGTGAGTTTGTTTGTGTGCTTGTTTTAGTGGGAAAAAAAAGTTGCCATCAAACCTTGTCCAAATGAGTGTCTGAAAGATTCTATGCAGTCCAGTGGAAATTATATGACTTCTGCAGAATTAAGCATTCACAAATAGAGCCTGGTCAAAATACTGGTCGATCAGAAGATTTGGACTGGCGGAGAACTTTCTGGAGAAAAATGAAATAATCTCTGATATGTTACATAGCAGCTGATTGAAGCAATGACAAACACAAGAGTCCCAACATGCTAACATGCTTACTTGTAATATGGATGAAACCTTGTAGGTAGCCAATGAATATATTAAAATGGTACATGCAATGTGACAACAACAAAAATGACGTATTTCCATGTGTTGAGAAAAGACAAATTAGCAAGTGTGACTTGGGAAGAAATCCCGAGATGGTGCCTGTGCGATTCAGACTGTTAGTGAGTTTAGAGGTGTGTGGCAATATTTCATAATGGAGAGGAACTTGCTTCATCCACCAGGAAACTGTGTGTGAAAATGCTCCTGGATGTGGTCATTTGCACAATGTACCAGGCATATCCTGGCATCTGGATCCTCAGAATAGTCCATGGTTTTAATGATGAGTTGAATTCTCAACAGGGAAACCTATTGCCCAACACACACACACACACACACACACACACACACACACCCCAAACATCATTAAAATGAATAAAAGGCATGCAGACAGGTATTTTAATCACACCATACTTCACGGACTCTGAGAAGCCCAGTGCTGTTGTGCTCTGTGATGCCGTAGACTCTGTCACTGGTATTTTAGATTCCAGCAGAATCTCCAATTGTGGACAGGTTTCAGCAGAGTTTGCACACAAAGACAACCAAGAACAAACTAGGCCACTTACTTCAGAAAATCAGTCGAAGGAAACTATATAGATCATGGCCAAATATCTCCCAGCTTGCTTGCTCCGTATACATCATCAGGAAGGCTAATCAGTGGAGGAGGACATCACGTTTGGTGAAGCCGAGAACTCATGAAGGCAGGGAAAACCCAGGGACAGAGATGGGCACACTAGCTGCAAGGATGAACTGGAGCATCTGGCGACAGTGAGGATGAGGCAAAGGGCTGGGCACACTTAATGCTGTCATATATATAGTTCATATGAGTCAGAATGGACCCATCTACGCATGCATAAATCTTTTATAAATCTAAATTCTCTCTCTATCATCTATCAACTATCTACCTAAATTATGTCTCGTATCTATTTATAACCTGTAAAATATAGTAAGAGAATCCCATGAGCCAATTCAAGCCACTGAAGTGTTAAACTCCAGCTAAGCCTAAACCGAAGAAGCACATTAGCCTGTGTCATCAAAGGATTATAAATCATATTAGAGTTTAAACTCTGAGCACCTGATTTACAGACGGCTATGACAGATAATGAAAATCCAAAATTCATTTGCAGAGACCTTATGGGGAACAAGCCTTCATTGAAGTCCCTTGGAATATTGACCAGAGATGTGAAACGTCAATTAATGCTGGTATATTTAGGTTAAAATTTAACATCACTTGTTTTTCCTTTTAAATTATTCTTGTTCTTTTTTAGAAAACAATTTACTGGCATAAAATCCACACATTGTACAACTCAACAATTCATTCATATTAAGAATAGTTGTGCAATCATCACCACAATACATATTAGAACATTTTCTTCTTTCTTGTGCTCATTGTTATTAGCTCCCCATTTCCCACAACCTCCCCTGCTACCCACCCAAGAAACCATCATTCTGCTTTTCTTTGCAGATCCCTTGCCTGTAATCTTTTTTTATAACAGTTTTATTGGCACGCAACTTACATATCATACAATTCAACAGTGTAATCATGCAATCACATAAGGAGAATTGTACTATCATTACCATATTCAGGTTTAGAACATCTCCCCTCCCCCTTGGATAAATTGCCTTTAGAACGAATTGTGCAAGTACAGTAAGTTCTAGTGTTCCCTCCCCCATCAGCCTTCATTTTTTATTTCTGAAATCCCATTTCCCTCCCTGTCACCCACTCTCCACTCCTGCACCCCCTAGCAACCCTTGCTTCAGTTATTATCACTATGCAGTCACTCTTCCTGTGCATCACAAACTGGGAAAACCAACAGAAACAATAAAAAAAATAATTGAAATGAGGTGGTCAGGATAAAATAATAATAATATAAAGACCAATATGCAAATAATGCACAAGAAAGAAAACACCTCCATCAAAAATTCAGGGAAGAAATTTCTGTCATGGAACAAGTAAGAGATACTTGCTCCCAGAGCAATACAGGTTGGGTCTGTAGGGAGGTCATCTGGCCAAGTATCAAGTTTGATTCAGCATATGCAAGATTACAGTGGTCTCTGCCTGGTAGGAAGGCTGTTGAAGATTCTTGCCTTTGGCTAGATTGGATCTGCCAGCGGTTCAGTCTGACTTGATACTCTGCAGATGGGTTTTGAGGTCCCACTGTCCTCTGTAGTCTTCTATATATTGAGTGCTCATAATTTTAGCTCTGGTACTTTTCCCTTTGCCATATTAGAATTTTATAATTGCCATCTTTGGATCAAACAAGCTCGTGTGCTTCTTCCATGTGGACTTAGTTGACTCCTCACTTAGATGGCTGCTTATTTGAATACAAGCCTTTAATACCCTAGACACCACTCTGATCCATAGTCGGGCATCATCTAGCTTCTTCACCACACTTTTTTGTGGCACCCTTATCTTCATTGATAATTTCATGAGGATGAGTATCAAACAGGGCCATGTGATTAGAACTAATTGTTCTTGAATTAGGGATAGAGTTAAGTATGAACCCAGACTCCATCTGCTTGTCCGTAGGGTTTGCATGTCCCAGGTTTACTTTGGCTGTCATAACATGACAGAAATCAGACCCTATAAACCAACTGCCTCACTAGCAACCATAGCCAACCAGCAACCAAATAAACAGAACACACATACCCCCACCAAAAAACAAGAAAGAACAAAAACAACAACAAAGAAAACAAGCTACAAGCAGGAAAGCAAAACCCATACAAACACAGAAGTACAACATTGTCAATCACTCCCAGGGTATACATCAGTGGTTCTCAACTTGTGGGTCTCGACCCCTTTGGGGGTCGAACGACCCCTTCACAGGGGTTGCCTGATTCATAACAGAAGCAAAATTACAGTTATGAAGTAACAACAAAAATAATTCTATGGTTGGGGGGTCACCACAACATGAGGAACTGTATTAAAGGGTTGCGGCATTAGGAAGGTTGAGAACCACTGGTATAAGTCAAGTGCATTGTTATCATCATCAATTTTCCCAGTGACTCAACACTGCAGACACTGCCGGTAAGGGGAGTCTATGCTAGTACAGTCCCACCTTGAACCAGAACCCATGAGATTTTGTCCTACACAGTTTGATCTCTCATTTGATGGGCTCTGTTGACCTTAAATATGGAGATTGATGCTAACGGAGGCTTTCCTGGGTCAGTTCTTCCAAGTGTAGATCCCTGCTCATTGGGTCCCAACCTGCCGTGCCCCTGTAGGGTGGGCATTGAGGTACATGGATGGTGATCTTGGGTCCCTTTTCATTGGACACCCACCAAGCCGGGGATTCCCCCCAAAGGTCCAGTGGCTGCAACTTCCACAATCTTAGGACAGTCACT